AAAATAGAGGAAGTTTGGCACAGATGTTAGCTCAGGGCCAGTCTTCTTCAAAACAATAATAATTAATTAAAAAAAAAATCAGACCAGCAGCTTCTGCTGTCAATACTCTGCCTAGAAATCTAACGGAAAGAACAAATGGCGCCTTGCCTCACCCCAACCCAGGAAGTGCAAGGAAGGCTCAGGCAAGCCACAGAAAGCTGGCTGCAACCCAGGAAGTATCCACACAGCCCAAGAGCCAGCTGCTTGGAGCATCAACAATCTCATATCCTTCACCATCGACGAAAAGGCTGCTATCTCTTGCTGACAGGCCTGGCTGTTTGCACCTGGGGTGGGCCCAGCCAGGGAGCTGGCCAGCTTGAAAGGGGGCCTGGATTCATGTGCTTTCTCTTTCCCGTGCTCCAGCTTCTGCAGAAATCTGCCAGAGCTTTGCAGACATCATTCAAGGCCTCTTCCTGGGCACACCTGCCAGTTTCGAGGCTGCAGTGGAACCCTTCAAACCTGATGCAGACATGAAAGCTGCGACGACCCAGCTGAAGACGCTGGTGGACTTCCTCCCCAAGAACACCAAGGACAGCATCTTAAAGCTCATGGTACACGGCTTCCTCCACTCACACTGCTTAGCAGTGGATTGCCCAAGCCCCTGGATGCTTTTCGGCCCCTTTTGCAATCCAGAGAGGACAGTCACAATGTAAATGTCCCCGGGGAGGGAGGCACAGTCATCGCACCTTTTAAGAGGCTTCTGAGAAATAATCAAAGTGTTTACAAGCTTAGCTCCTCCCAGATTGACTGAACTTCTTATCTGATGTTAAAGTTTCTGTGTTCCACCATCTTCGTCCAACTTTAAGGTTCGTTCACTATTATATTGGGTTTTGTTTGTTTGTTTCTTTCTTTTAGGACAAAATAGCAAAGAGCCCACTGTGTGCTTAGGATTTAGAAGCTGAAGAGCTGCAGTTGCTGGAAGCCCCTGCCACTGCCAGGATGCTTCCTTCACTGTCCCCAGCAGCCTAGGCTGGCTCTCTTTAATAAAGGATAAGCATCTCACCCTTGTGCCCTTGCCTCTTTTTTAATTTGTGCTGGAGTGGGACGGTCTGTCACTGCTGGGGAAAGGTTGAGCAGGAGCAGAAAGAGAAGCAGTGGCATGCAAACACATCCCCAAGGGGCCCACGCCCATGTCTCCCTACCAGTCCACCTTCCAGGCTAGCCACAGGCGCAAGAGCAGCTTCCAGCGCACACTCCCTTCCACGGGCAGAGAGAAGATGGAAAAGTACCAAGGCCCTGATCAAACCTGACCTGCAGGGGAGGGAGGGGAGGTCTGCATAGGGTGGTGGCTAACCCCACAACCCCCATCCATGTAGTGATGAGATTCTTCTGTTTCTTCCAGTCCCTTTGAGATCCTGCTCTTGGGTGGAAAAGGAAATATTAAAGGTGGTTATGCTACCCAGACGTGCCTGCAAGCAAAGATGGAGCTTTCCAGAGAGTCCCATCTCCCAAAGATAAATGGTGGCTATTTCAAGAATTTTGACAGAGCAGCAGGGACCATTAGGGGCTGGACGGCCCTGTGTCAGAGTCGCTCACGTCACACACAGCACACGACACTGCCCTCCACTTATGGAAGGAATCGGATTCCTGTCAGATGCTTAGAAAACAAAGGCTGGAGGGAGGAATACACTCGATTCCCTGATTAGGGACCAGGGTGTTTGGGGGTGACTTTGAGGAGTGACAGACCCTGAGGGGAGTCCTCAGAGATGGCGGGTTAAATATTTTGCACACTTCATGTTTGCTACATGAAATTATTTGTCGGACTTTTTTTAAAGGAGGTGGAAAACAGAAAAACCCCTTCCTATGCATATTCTAGATCCTCTATTGGTCACCAGTGTGAAGACATCCTATTTCCAGGCTTACATTGCAGAGGCCTGCACACCAAACCGTCCCTTTGTGTCAGTCTTGCTTTAAGGACATCTCTGCCCAGAAGACGCTTGGGGGCGGCGGGAGGGTCAAGACCAGAATGGTCAGCACCCGGTTACTGCTGTCCACTGGGCGATGCTCTTGTTCTGACCCCGAGGTCCCTCTCGGACTTGCTCCCCACCCTGTCCCCGATTCCTGAGTCCCTGTCCAGTCAACTTTCACGCAAAAAGAGAATCAGTCACCCCTTTTTCCTTGTGGCAAAGGGGACCTCAGACATGAAATTAATCCCTAGGTATTTACTGGCACTTTCAATGTGTTCACAGTGGTGCTGGGCACTCTGAGGAACCCAGGAGCAGATTTCATAACCCAGCAAACACATAAGCCCCGAATAGAGAAGAGTGAATAAAACAGTAGCCTCTGCTCACAGGGAGCTGGCCATCTAGCGGGGAAGATTACCAGCTCCCTCAAAAGAAGCAAGTAAACAAATAGACAGATAGATAAACCTGTGATAAAAGCCATAGAACAAATCAAAGGAGCGTTGTGAGCAAGAGTAGCTTGGACAGGCCTTAGCTCTGGAGTCCCCTGTCTATGATTTGAGCGGAGACAGGAGGGATGAGGGGACCCAGACAGGAGGGATGAGGGCAGGAGGACACAGCATTCCAGGCAGAGGATCAAGCAAAAGGGAAGATGAGGCAGGTGCACAGAGAATGCAGTGTGGAGGATGCTTGGGGCTCCCCCCCGGCCCCACCCTTTTTGAATGCCACTAAGCCATGCCCTTGGGCCCCAGCAGAAAATTTAGAAGCTTTCCTCTAGGTTTCTATTACCTGCCACCAAAAGAGCCCAGACCTCCTTCCCTTGTATCCTACCATCTACCCAACATCTCAAACTCCTCTTGTCCAGCAGAGCTCCTGATCCCTCTCCCTAGTCTGCTTCTAATCTCAGTAAGGTCTATCTCCATCCTCCCGGCAGCTCCAACCAGAAGCCAGAGGGGCATCCCTGACCCTCCCCTCTCCAGCACCAGCACACCCAGTCAAGCAAGACTACCTCCAGAGCACCTCTGCGAACCCTCTCTGTGTCCACCGGGCCACCCCTGGCCACACCACCCAGCCCACGTGCACAACCCCAGGGGCCTCCTAACTGGCTCCCAGCTCACAATGGTATCCCTGCAGTCCCTTCTCTAGGCAACCACCAAGGCAATTCTTATCAAATGAAAACCCCCTTCCACTGCCACACCTCCCCCAAGTAAAATCCTTCAAAGTTTCCCAGGACTCTCATAAAATACTAAATGCAGAGCATGCCCATCACTAACTGTCATCTCCCACCTCCATCCCACTGCTCACTCCTCCTGCTCAGTCCACAACCCCCACCCACACCTCCTGGGCCTCCTTCAGTTGTGGTTTTTTTAAAGATCCAAGCCCCTTCCCACCTCAGGGCCTTTGCACAGGCCACACAGCATCGACTGCTGAAAAAGTACTGGTGATTGGTTTTAAAAATCATCCTAGGATATCAGCAACATGGCAGAGTGAGCAGTTCCCTTTGTCTCTCCCCCTTTGAGCTACAACTAAATGGACATTCCTTGATCAGTGGAGGATACTCACACAGCACCTCAGGATGCCTGACAGAGCGGCGCTGCTATACATTGGGAAGTGGATGGACTACCCCCAGGGAGGAGGTGGAGATAGGTGAAAACTCTCTGGCCCCCAGACAGCCCAGTATCCACGAGCGACTGATCTCCCAGTTGAAGTGCTCATAGCACCACTGTGGCCCCAAGGGTGGGCGTGCAGCTTGGCGAGACTGTGGAAACAGGTGACTGCAGGCTTGAGACCCCTGTGATTACTTTTTTGACCAGTGGGAAAATCCACAGTCCCACTGCGGCCCCAGGAAGTGACTCGGGCTCAGACCTGGTAGGGAGGCCCCGCCCACCAAGCTCAAAGGCTGGTGAGACCTAGGAGCAGATGCAGTGCAGCCAGGTGAGCAAAACTGCCAGGTGCCTTAAACTCCCATAGCTCTGCTGCAGCCCCGAAAAGGCCAGTGAGACCCAGCAGGGCTGTGGGAGTGGGCAGTGACAACCCTGAGCCCCAGCGTGATGCTTCCTTGGTCTAGTGGGAAAATCCACAGTCCCACTGTGGCCCCATGGAGTGACTCGGGCTCTGTCCCAGTCGGGGGCGGGAGGGGGGGGGCGGGCCCTGCCAACCAAGCTCAAGGCCTGGTGCAACCAATTATCTGACTAAAGAAATGCAACATAAGGATTATAAGTATCCCAGAGGGCCAAGAGAAGGAGAATGAAGCAGAAAGCTTGTTCAAGGAAACAATAGCTGAGAACTTCCCAAACCTGAGGAGGGAGCTAGAAATCCATGTAACAGAAGCCAATAGGACTCCCAACTTTATCAATGTAAAGAGACCCACTCCAAGGCACATAGTAGTGAAGCTGGCAAAATTCAATGACAAAGAAAAAAGCAAGGCAGAAGAAAATGACCTACAAAGGAACCCCTATCAGGCTGTCAGCAGAGTTCTCAACAGAAACCTTACAGGCTAGGAGGGAGTGGAATGATAGATTCAAAATTCTGAAAGACAGAAACTTTCAGCCAAGAATACTCTATCCAGAGAAAATATCTTTCAAATACAACGGAGAGATAACTTTCTCAGATAAACAAGTTAAGGGAGTTCATTGCCACAAGACCTCCCCTACAAGAAATCTTCAGGAAGGCCCTGATACCTACAAAAAAAGAAAAGCAAAAGGAAAGGGGTTACAAAACTCTGAGCAAGGTGATAAGTAGAAAGATAAAATCAAAAAATTGCAGCTCTCCATCAGAACAGGTTAGCAAATGCTTAATTATGACATTAAAGATAAAGGGAAGGAGAACACCAAGAATAAACATAATCTGGTCATTTTAACCACAAGCTCACAACACAAGAAGAAATAAGATGTGACAGTAACAACTTAGAAGGGGAAGAGGAAAGGGATGGAACCAGCTTAGTCTAAGGAAATACGAGGCTATCAGAAAATGTACTATCTCATCTATGAGATTTTTTATACAAACCACATGGTAACAACTAAACAAATAATTAGAACAGAGACACAAATGATAAATAAGGAGAAAACTAAGAAAACCAGCATAGAAAACTACTTAACCGAATTGGTAGTCTGAAATACACGAGATGAGAAACAAAGGAAATGCTGGAGAACTGGAGAATGAGTGATAAAATGGTAGCATTAAGCCACCACATATCAATAACCACTCAAAATGTAAATGGATTGAATTCTCCAATGAAAAGACAGAGTGGCAGGATGGATTAAAAAAGAAGACCCAACAATATGCTGCCTCCAGGAAACACATTTCAGCCTGAAAGACAAACACAGACTCAGAGTGAAGGGATGGAAGACAATACTCCAAGCTAATAGTGAACAAAAGAAAGCAGATGTCACCATGTGTATATCAGACAAAGTAGACTTCAAGACGAAAAAGGTAGAGACAAAGAGGAGCACTCCACCAAGAAGACATAACACTTATAAACATATATGCACCCAACACAGGAGCACCAAAGTACATAAAGCAACTATTAACAAACCTAAAAGAAGATATCAACAACAATACAATAATAGTAGGTGACCTCAACATCCCACTTACACCAATGGATAGATCATCCAGACAGAAAGTCAACAAAGAAATTGTAGAATTAAAAGAAAACCTAGACCAGATGGGCTTAATAGATATATATAGAACACTCCATCCAAAAACAGCAGGTTACACATGCTTCTCAAGTGTGCATGGAAATTCTCAAGGATAGACCATATCTTGGGAAACAAAGAAAGCCTCAATAAATAAGGGGATTGAAATAATATGAAGCATCTTTTCCAACCATAATGTTATGAAAACAGAAATCAATCACAAGAAAAAAGCTGGGAAGGGGGCAAAGATGTGGAGATTAAACAATATGCCACTGAACGACCAATGGATCACTGAAGAAACCAAAGGAGAAATCAAATATTATCTGGAGACAAATGAAAATGAAAACACACCATACCAACTCATTTGAGGTGTAGCAAAATCGGTCCTAAGAGAGAAATTCATTGCAACACAGGGTCATCACAACAAGCCATAAAAATCTCAAATAAGCAATCTCAAACTACAC